CATCCCTACTTTGAGATAAGAAAACTGAGACACAGAGGGGTTGAGAGATTTGCCCAAGGTCAACATAGGAAGTAAGTGCAGAACAGGGACATGAACTCAGTCAGTCTGGTTGCAGACTCTGTGTCTTTAACCATCATACTGCCCAAGCTGTAATCACTAACCTCAGCAACTGCCCTGGAGGCATGGGTGACTAAAAGGATGAGGGGTAGCTTCCCCCAGGTCTCTGTCAGGGGGGTTGGGGAAAAGGAGGATGGAAACCTTACAGCTCTGGCCCCGTGGTGTCTGAGTGCTCTTTTAGGCAAACTCTCCCCAATCCCTCCTGCATGGTACCAAGACTGATAACATGACTCAGAGGAGCCAGTGTTAGTGTGAAAGTCAGACCACCCAGACTCTAGAACCACCTGCAAGACATGGGACCATAATACTCCCCCAGCAGGGTTCTGTTTCTCCATTTCCACTACATGGTGGGAGTTGATTAAAAAGTCACGAAGAGACTTGGCTCTAACTTTCTGGCTGTAGAAAGTGGAAACCTGGTGCTTCTCGGGGGATCATCCATCAGCAGGTGAGACCAGATGTCTGTCCATGGAAAGCAGAGAAGTTACATTCCATCAGTGGCTTTGCTCTCAAGGGATTGGGGCAGGGGGCCATGGGGCCACAGAGGCATTTAGATCTCAGTGACTACTCATTGCTCATTCATGGAACATTCACCTGTCAATAAACATTTGTCAGGGGCTTTCATTATGCCAGGGACTCTGCCCATGTAAATCATGTCTCCCCAGCTTAGAGGCACAATGGGGGCAACTTCATACTAATTGTCTTCAATTCACTGGCCCTTTCTCTATGTAAGCACCTGCCCCCTCACAACACACAGGGATATTTGGAGTTTCCATGGGGTGTCCCCATGGTACTGGGGACTAATCCCTGCTGTCAAGTGGGGACATGCCATGTCCTTGCTCTCCTACCAGAGACCCTCTCAACGACGCCCACTGCTGGCTTCATCACCAACGCCTTTAATGAGAAGGCCACAGCTGGCTGTGCTCCCAAAGATGCCAGTCCACAGGCACCAGGAAGCCTGATGGTCTTCCCGACGCTCCTCAGAAGAAAAAGAGAGATGCCCTCAGTCCTCTGAGGCAGGCCTGGGGCCAGTGAAGGGGGTGAAAGAGGGTGAACAGGGGTGTTTAAATATTTGTCCTTTCCTTTTCCCCTGCCTCCCAAGCTCCATCCTGCTTCCTTCTTCTTAACAAGACCCTATCAAGGGTAGCCTCCTTCCCACAGGCCAGGGAAGTAGACAGGGGCAGGGCAAGGTTCCATCTGCCACCTTGCCCTTGTGAGTCCCAATCCCCTTCACTTCCCCAAAACTTGCCTTCACTAATGTCTGCAGCAACAGTTGCTGCTGGACCAAAGCCTCTGCTGGGAAGCCCAGGGCAAGGCCTGCAGAAGGTGGCAGAGCTGTCACAGCGGTCATGGTAACAGATCCCAAATCCCCAGCTCACAGGAGCCGCAAAGTCCAACCGACCAAGGCAGTATTTTTTACCTTTTTAATGCTGAGAGTAAATAGATCTCTTTGTGGAGAAGGAAACCAACTTTACTCTGGAGCCAGAGTGGCAAGGTGGCATGTTGTGCAACCTTAGGGCCCAGCTGTGTGGCTGTCAGAGGCGGCCCTGGAAGATGCCTCCTTGCTATGCTTCCAGCTTCTTTTCTCGCCCTCTTCATCCCACACCAACACAGCTCTGATTATGCCCCTCTCCTGTTCAAAATTCATCAAAGATTTGGCCTGGCTGGGTGCCCCATTGGTTGAAGCATTGTCCCATACACCAAAAGTTGCAGGTTTAATTCCTGGTCAGGACACATACCTGGGTTCTGGGTTTGATCCCTGGTCAGCGCATGTGCAGGAAGGCAACCAATTGATATCTCTCTCTCTCTCTCTCTCTCTCTCTCTCTCTCTCTCCCCCCCACCCTTCCTCTTTTCCCTCTCTCTCTAAAATCAATAAGCAGGTCCTCTGGTGAGGATTTTTTACAAAACATCAAAGATTGTATAATACCAAATGGATGAGCTGCTACACTGTGGCTCTAAACCACCTTTACTCAAACGGCAGATTCCAGTCAAACTTAAACTTGCCCCTTGCCACCAAGCCTCATAGCTTTTGCACATGACATGCCCTCTGCATGGAGTGCTCCACCGTCCCTCATCCCACTGTTCCCCTAGGAGCCTGTGACGCAAGGAGAACCGAACCAGCAGGCCTGATAATGAAATCTTGTCCTTTCAGGGTAACTCAGTGTCTTCCAGTAGAAAGTATATACTGTCCATTTATTACTTTGTCAATTCAGGACCTAAACCCTGCTCCCTTGGCCTCTGTCTCCCTAGATCCTGCTAAACACAGCAGAATTATCAAATAGAGTTGGAAGGGACCTGAGAACTCCCAGTCCTCCCACACCGCCCTAGATCAGTGATTCTCATATTTAGGGCCCATCAAATCCCCTGGAGGGTTTGTTAAAACTCAGGTTCCTGGGTCCCACCCTCAGAGTTTCTGATTCAGGAGGTCTGGAGTGGAGTCCAAGTATTTTCATTTCTAACAAGCTACCAGGGGATGCTAATCCTGCTGGTCTAAGGACCACACTTTTGGGAACCGCTGACCTAGATATTGATTCAGAAGGTAGCCTCGTATCTCCGTTTCCCCTGAAGGACCCAGCACCAACACGCCCACTTTCTCGGCCTGGCACCCACTGCCGGCTGCCCTGACTAAGTGGAAGGCGGAGCTTCCAGCCACCCACCATTCAGAGCCCTGGGGAGGGTCTTGGCTATTGGTGTCGCAGTGAGGTCACCGACAAGAACATGAAATTCTCTGTAGGGAAAATAATCACAGTGATCCATAAGGTGGCATAATGTAACAATATCAGTAGTGGCAATAATAATAGTAATAACATGATTATAATATAATGTCATCTGCCCTAACATGCTAAATCCAGATTGATCTGAGCAATATAAAAGAATTACTGACATACACAAATGCTCACAAAGCCTAGCTTAGATTTATTTGGGACCATTTAGAAATACGGCAATGGTAATGATGGCTGTAATAACAAACTGCATTTATACACAGCTTTGGAGATTCCAAAGGACCTCTACCAGTTTTACTTTAGCATTGACCCCGGGAAGTAGACAGCAGCAAGTTTCTTTGGTTTATAAACAAGGCTCACATCCAGCAAATGTGGGTGGAGGACATGTTGTGAGCAGGTCAGGTACTGAACAGGGGCTGGGATCAGGGGATCGGGTTGCAGATGAAATACAAGACACCCAATTACATTTGAACTTCAGATAAACAGAAAATCATTTCGTAGTGTTAACTGTGCCCCAAATATTGCATGGAGCATACACTAAAATACAATAATATTTGTTGTTAATCAAATTTAACCAGGAGTTCTGTATTTTATTTGCTAAAACTGGCAACCTGACTAGGGGAAGAAGGAGGGAATAAAAAGAATAAGAAATATTTCTTGCCCTCAGAACAAGCTCACAGCCTGGCAGGAGATGGCCCTGGTCCATGGCACAGCACTTCCCAAACTTGAATATGCTCACGAATCAACTGGGGATGTTGTTAAATTGCAGGAGCTCTGGGGTGGGGCCCAAGATTCCACATTTCCAACTATTTCTGGGTGGATGCTGCTGCCAATGGTCCCTGACACACTCTGAGTAGAGAAGGTGCAGAGGGAAGCTCAGAGGCTGTGTGAGCTAGAGGAGGTACCTGGTCCCCTTTATGGGTCTTCTTGTAGGAGGTGGTATCTGGAGGGTCTTTGCTGATAAGACTTGGGGGAGAAAAGTAGAGAAGGCATGCTGGGTGGAGGAACACCATTTGTGGAGTCCCAGCAGCAGGAGAAAAATTGCAAGTTAGGGAAGGGCAGTGAGGAATATGGACGGAGGACAGTATTTGGGCAGGTGGTGCTGGGTTCTGGGAATCCAGAGGTTAATCAGATGAGAACATTGCCATCTCAGACCCCCCACCTCATGGGAGAGATAGAGCTACAGACAGACCAGTACAATCCTGTGTTGTGCTGTTGAGTTCGAGGTAGGCACTGGAGTGGTGGGAGCCCAAGACTTATTGGATGAATTTAATATGACCTTCATGTAGGGCCAAAGGCCAGGCCCAGAGAGGTCCAGCTGACACAGTGGCCCAGAGCCTGGCTCTCACTCATTCGCATCATCTCTACATCCTGGCCAGAACATCAGTGACAGAGAAACCCAGTTATGTCAGTTGCCTTGGACTCACGTGATCAGATTCTGGAGTCTGTAGTAGTTATGTGGCCTTGGGGGCACTTTGAAGCTACCAGTGCTAGGGTGGTATCCCTCAAGCGGCCTGTTCTAGTGTTCTTCAGGTTCATCACGTTCTTCACAGTACCCCAAACCGAGTGTGAGTGCTCCTCTGTGTCCACTCTCTCCTTTTCCTTTGCTAATCGAGTGCTTGTGTTTTAGCTGAGGACATGCATCTCAGAACCAAGTTTATACTTCCCAGACACCCTAGATACGATCTTATAACAGGGTGTGGTGGACATAACCTGAGAATCAGTCTGGGTGTGTACAGGAAACAAGGTCTACGGTATTATTTCTAAGCAAGGTGAGACTTGATAATAAGGAAGGCACTTACAAAGTCCAAATGGCAGGGTTGGGAGCAGGGAGGTGGTGGGATGCTGCTAGGATTTGCAGTCATGGCAGCTACAAACCAGAGGTCAGAAAGCTCCAGAAAACCACTCCAGTGTCACAGCCGCCCACAGACACAAGGTAACCAGATAGCATACTGGAGATCTAGCCACTGGTAGGAACTCCCATAGGCCAGAGGCTACAGGCCAGTTGTGTCACTGCCTCAGGAAGAATGGCCTCTGCCTGCTCTCTGCCTTCCCAATCGCATATGCATGAAGCTCATTGGCTGGAACTAGTCACACCCAGAATCCTAGTGGCAAACGAGTCTGAGCAGTTCTGTACCGAGGCTTCCGGGCTCTGTGATAAAGTGAAAGCACAGAAGGGCAGGGACAGGCCAAATGCCACTGCTCAGTACTCATTCCCACCCTTCCTGCCGGCCGGGACAAGGACACAAAGGTGAAGGTAACTTTGTGGGGTGGCAGTGAATCACATTAGAGGTCTTTAAAATGCCACAGGAGCTGGGACCTTTGCATGGGTGAGAAGTAAACTTCTGTCTTGTTTAAGTCACTGTTTCAGCAGCTGAGCCTGTTCCAACACAGCACCAAGAAGTGTAAAATGAGGCCTCAGAGGTAATCACTTCAAAAACCTGTAGTGTTGACGGTACTGCAGTGTCAACTCAACCTGGCCATCAGGACTGCAGCAATAAATACTCCACCGAGAGACACAGCAGTATTCAAGGCTGTGGCTGGTGCCAAATGTGGGCCATTAATTCTATGCTAAGGGAAACTGGAGTGTGCTCAGAGGGTCCAGGGGTGTTGGAGAAGACTTCTTATAGGAGGTGGAGCTGGGGATGGAGAGGAAGAGAATGGCTTTCTGGTGGAAACAATTTTCTTTCCCTTCCCCAGGGCCTCACTGACCAGAGAGCCGCCCTGCCAGCTCCTAGGCAGGAGAGCGTGGTGCCCACAGTTAACCAGGGGAGCTGACCTTCTGCCTGGAGCAAGATGGAGACCAGAGGGTGGCCTAAGAGGTATGAAGGGAAAGGGGCTGGGCATTGCTCCACAGGGAGGGACCTGTGTCTCTGCGACATTAATTTCAAGTCCCTGAAAACAAGGATGGGGATGGACACACTCAGGAAATGGCCTCAAGTCATGAAGTAGAGCCTGGTCTGGCTCTCCCCACCTCTGCCCTGTAGCTCCACAGGAAGGCCTTCAAACAGGGCTGTCCCTGGTAGGCAAGGAGCCTGGGACTCAGGGACAGTCAGTGAGCCTGCATGTCCAGCACTGGGGTTGGGCCACACCCGCCTAGCCATTCTCTCTTCACCCGTCTTTATAAAAAGTGCATGTTTAGGATGTGGGGACTAGGCCCCAACTGGACAGGGTCAGGGCTTATTTAGGGACCAGATCAGGATTTTCCAGGGTGAAGGAAGAGTCCACGGCCAGGATTAGAAATTAGACTCAGTGAGGGACCAGTCTGTGCTGGGGTAAGACTCAGCCTGGGCCAGGCTCACAGCCTAGACTGTGACAAGGGTCACAGCTCAATCTAGGTCCAGTGGCAGGGCTCAGTCTGGGACTGGTGTCAGGTTCCGGTTTTAGTGGGAAAAGATTGTTAACCCCTGGGTATGATGCCTGTGTGTGAGCTCAGTGCCATTAGTTCCTTGGATAAGAAACCATAATGTCAGGTGGTCAGTGTGTGTGATTTGTACATTTATTTCTCACTTAGCCTTCAAATCCATTTTACTCCAGGTGTCTTCTCTATTCTTCCTCCAAACTTAGGTTTAGATCCTTATCCCCTCTGGTAGAAGAGGGTGTGCAGGCAAAGAGGGTTAAAAGAAGCTACCTCTATTCTTACAGCAAGTTCAGAAAGAGACAGAGCCAGGCAAGAGGCCAGGTGAGCAGGTGACCAGCCCAGGGCATCCTAGTGGACTCTCAGCTTCCTGCAGCGCTTTGGAGAGAAGCCCCAGCTCACCCTGAAGCCCATGGACAGGCAGGCGGCCAGCTGGAGGAGTTGGCAGCAGGGACATCCTGGATCAGAGCCTTGGGCTGCAGCCAAGGCAGTTCAGTTGGGGCAGAGGGTGAGACTGAGGTTTATTCAGCCTGCTCTGCAGCAATCCCCAGGGCAGGTGCCAGCAATTTTCCAGCCCTGAGTGTTGGAGCCAAACACCACCAAGTAGCCAAGAAGGGCAGGAACCCCCCATCCGGGTCCTCATGGGCATGCTTAACCACTGAAGGAAATACAAAGTGACTGTAAGTGACAAAATAAAAAATGTAATTAAGTCAGATGGAACCAACTGGCAGGAATGATAAAAGCTGATCTCCAGGCTCTGAGATTTAAAGTAAGGCCACAGAATGACCCCATCTCAGCTGCACAGCGGGCAAAGAGAAGGCAAGGGAATGAGCTCAAGGACAAGAGCCAACCTCTGTGGAGGACAGTGAGCAAACTGGGCCTCACCTGCACCCATAGAAATTGGGGTCAGGTAAAAGATGAACTTCCTGAAGGTGAGGGGCTTAAACATTGGCATAGGTGTGACATCATCTCCTTTTTCCAACGACACATATATCCCTCCTGGACAGGTTTGGACACAGGGACAAGGGGACCTTTCCAAGGTCTGTGGGAATAAGAATGGTTCCGTTGTCAAATAAGAAGTCTGTGCAGGTGGAGGCAGATGACACTTGGGAAGAGGGGAAAAGGAGGAAGGCTCAGGGTACAGCAAGTCCCAGAGGCCTTCCTGCAAACAGAGCTGGAAAAGAGTCAGCCAGGCCCCATGGAGGCAGACATCACAATGCTTGAACCTGACAATGTGAGGAGGTCTTGAGTGACCCCTTTTTCTCCTTCTGAGCTTTCTTCCTCCGGGTCAGACCAGGAGCAGAGCCAGCACTGCGGCCACCCCCCAAGCCCACAGAGGAAACAGCAGGTTGCCTAGCCCTGCGCTCTTTGAGGCTCTGAGGGACAGAGCCTGTCTAGGCCCTTATGGCAGGTGGATTCCTGAGATCTGTGGAGAGATTCCTGCAAGAATTGGGGAGCTCGGCACCAACATCTGGAGAATGCTTGCTTTGCCAGCTACTCCTGAGAGAGACGGCCTAGCTTTGCTGTGAGAGACTGAACTGGCAGCTCCACTGGCCCCCATTCTAGCAACATCCTGTGCCAGTGCTCTGTGCCGGACAGTGGGGCATGCAGAGAAGGTGGCCTCTGTATGCTTGGTGAGCTCCCAGGTGGGTGAGAAAGAAGAGACTCATACTCCAACTCAGGGTAATCATTCAGGGTTCATTTATTGAGCATCCACCGTCTGCTAGACACAGGCAGGGTAGGAGCCAACTGTGGAAGTTAAAAAGTTTATGGTTTTGGTTTTTGGCCCTGACCGATGTGGCTCAGTGGGTTGGGCATTGTCCTGCCAACTGAAAGTTTGCTGGTTTGATTCCCGGTTGGGGCATACACCTGGTTTGCAGGCCAGGTCCCTGGTTGGGGGCATGCCCTCTCTTTCTCCCCACTCTTCCTCTCTCTCTAAAAAATAAATGAAATATTTAAAATAAAAAGTAAAGTTTATAGTTTGTCTGGAATTGAAAGAGAAGCAATTAGATAGAAGCGAAATACCCAGGTAACTCAAGGTGACAGGTGGTTCACATATTAAGTATATAGGAGCTAGGGGAAGAGAGAAATTCGGTATACACCGGAGTAATCAGTGCAGGCTTCTTGGATGAGGCAGAGCTGGAACCTAGCCTTTGAGGAATGAGAAAGAATGGCTTAGAAGATTAGAGGAGGGGGATGCCTCCCAGGTGGACTCAGCATATATAAATGGGTAGATATGGAAAAGAGTGTTCAGAAAGAGATTTTTCTGAACTTCAGCTCAGAGCTAAAGTTATTGGTACAGGAAATAGACCCTTGGGTGATCCCAGCAGGTCCAAGACCACTCTGGGATTGTTTCTCTGTGAGCGGAACCTGGGCCCAAAAAGGAATTCATTTCCCCATGTAGACAGATTCATCTCCAGGAGGCCAGTCAAGATCCTAATGGCCAAGGACTCAGGCACCTGTAGCCCTCAGTCTTGGGTTTGTAGAGCATATTACCCAAGCCCTGATCCCCTAAGCCATAGAAAATGAAACCAAATTGGAATAAGTGATACCCCTCTGCTGTGCTGATGGTGAAAACTTGGTCACTCCGTGCCTCCTGGTGGCCAAGAGGTGGAGAGATGCAAGTGGTAGGAGAGGAGGCCAGTGTGTGTGCACTCTCCCTCCACCAGGAAACAGGCCATGAGCTCCTTTGGCTCCAAGGCCGGCCCTGCAGTCCTCTGCTGCCATGGAAGATATAATGGAGACATGTTGGTCCTGCCATCTCTGGACTATCTTTCACTATAGGACATATCCTTGTTACAGATACTGAGCATAACACAAGTGGGCACCATCCAAGAAACTGAAAGTGCAGGTAGAGCGTTTCATCATTTCAAGCACATCATCTGTCCATCCATCTGTCCCAGGCCCCCCATTTATTCCTGCAGCCAGAACACTGAAGTGTCAGATTAGGATTTATTGGGGGTGTTAAATCACAACGGATGCCACTCTTTCATTTCAGGGACAGTCTTCCTGAAACACCTCTGTCTCCCTGACATGCCATTCCTAATGACCTAAGACATGTGTCTGCCCACTTGCAGGCCTTTGCTGGGGAGTGTTTTCTTTGTTATCTTCTCCAATCCCATGGGTTAGCTCTCACCTCGGGGCAGCCCCTGCCTCTGACCTGGGAAAGCAGATGACCAGAGTATAACCTGTATGGTGAGGAGATAAGGCCCCTTTCCTGATTTGCCTGCTGGACCCTCTGGGGATGTGAGCATTACAGGGGAGCCCTCATCTCTCACCCTTAATGGCTCTACAGGAACAACCGCAATTCTAGATCCCAGCTGTGTAGCCTTGTAGAAGTCATTCTTCACTCTTGGGACTGTCACTTTCTCCACCAAATGACAGGATTAGAACTGGATGAGTCCTAATGCTTCTTCCCACTCTGAAACTGGGGAAGCACAGATCCTGGATGCCTTGGGTCCAGGCAAAGCCTGGTCTAGGGTGGGCATTCCAGAGTTCCAGAGGGAAGCCAGAGCCAAAGGCTGAGGCTGGGTCTGTGAGGATGACACGTAGTCACCCTCGCATTGGGTGGCTCCCATCTGGAGCTGTTCTTTTGGGGGCGGTGCTTCACTGCTGCCTCCCACCCCCTCTTTTCCTCTACTTTCTTTCTCTCTCCCTTTCCTTCTTATCTGATTAATGCCTGCCTTGAAATTTGCTCTCCTGCTTCCCACAAAGTATTTCAAACCACATTTTGACAAACCAGAAAGGATCCCAGTGTTGTCCCAAACCCAACATCAGGACCTGAAGCCTCAGTTCTCCAACTCTAATTGGTCTTATTGATGTTTAATGTTATCAGAGGCTGTCTCATTAACAGACCCTCTTTGAATAAATGACGGAGAAACATTCCTGACCCTGGACCTTGAACATCAGATGTTCTTAGATGCTGGGAAGCATTTTATTCTAATTTCCCCAGTTCACTTTCCACCCTCTGAGGGTACAGCTAGTTCTGTCGAAAGCAATGTGCTCCAGGGGCCCTTTCAAAAGATGAGCATTCACACAGAGGGACCTCTGTGGCTCCAAACACCTGTCTTAGTAAAAGAGGTAACATGGTTCTGACACAGCAGTGTCTTTTGATCAGAGATATATATGTTTTTAAGTTTATTTGAATCTGAAATATCTTGACATGGTTCCAAATGAAAAACTATTAAAGGTATATAGTGAAAGGTTTTCTTTCATTCTCATCTAAGATGCAAACAGTTTCTACCACTCCCCCACTCCAAACTGCTATTAATTTCTTATGAAGTCTTCCAGAGTATCTTTACATCTATTATAAGCAAAGCCAAATATGTATTCTCATTTCCCCCTATTTTTTACAAAAGCTAGTATCATATACCTGCCATCTTGCTCTTTGCTTTTTCGCCTCATGAAATATCTTGGAGATAATTTTATTTCTTAATAAACTCACTCATTTGTCTTCACAGCTGC